TAAATTTTTTTAATTTTTTTTTTTAAACAGGAAAAAAGGAATCCTTTTTTTTTAAAAAAAAAGTTTTTGAGACAACCCAAAGGTTTTTTTAGGGGGGTTTTTTTATTTTTCTAAAAAAAAAAAGGAAAGAAAAAAAACCCGGGGGGGGAAAAAAAAAAAGGAAGGGGGGCAAATTTTTTTATTTTTTGGGGAAAAAACCCCCCCGGGAAATTTTGGGAGGCAAACCCATTTTTACCCCAGTAGGTAAACTTTTCCCGAAACTAAAATTAGGAATTTTTCCCCCCCTAGCAAAGTTTCCCCCCCCCCCATGTTCCGTTTGGAAAGGGAGGGGGGGTCAAGGGTAAAATGATTAGGGCAAGCAAAAAAGGGGTACCCCCCCCCCCCCCCCCTCCATTACCTTTTCGGCCTGGAAGCATCGTTTCGTTGATTTAGTCCCGGGGTAGATCGTTTTCGACCAAACAAAGAAAGATCCCCCCGGGTATATACTATGTCAATTTCCCCCCAGGGTACCAGTTTCCCACGAGTTCCCCCGGGGGCGATGTATTTCCCTTATTTTCTGAGTCGATTTTGTTGCATGGCGGAGCACAAAAGCATGATATGGGACTGAAAATTCATTTGCAGATCTGACTTCGAGCGAGATTCAGGTGTGTGTACCGTTTGTCACTTGGCCCTCGCAGTTGTTTTGCGGGTGAAATGCTCTCGTTTTCCTGTCTATTTCTTGCATTTATCATCCCTGGAATCAGCTGAAACGTACAACAGGATGCTAACGAAACCTTGCGCACAAAGGGAACAAATAATCGTATTCATTTTTGGATCTCATTGTAACTCAAGGTAAAACCGAACCATAAAAAAAATAGCTTATTCCTGCGGACAAACTGCGAATTCTTGTGCATGAGCTTAGGCAATGAATGGTACCACTCGTGCGACCCGACAAAAACCTCATCCATCTCAGTTTCGCCAATCTGTGTGTGTGTGGTGTGTGGACCATCCCCCCCGGTACACGTCAATTACCCCCCGGGAGGTGTGGTTTCACAAAAAAACCGATCCCCTCCCTGGGGGGAAAACTCCGTAGTTGACGGTATTATCTGATAGTTTTCGGTGTTTTCGTCTTCAGATTTTTTTGTGGGTACATAACGATTCGCATGGATCTGGATGGATGGATGGACGGTTGAGGAATCTCAACCACGTGCGCGTGTGCCCGGCGTGTTCATACTGCTGTACACAAGATAACTTCACAAGATTTTTTTTTCTTGGAGTAGTGTAGTAAACAGCCAACAGCCTCGTTCGCCTCCCTTTCTTTCGCCTCGCCCGTTCGTTCATTTGCCTGGGAACGGCCAGTAGCGAGGAGCTGAGAGGAGCTGAGAGGAGCTGAGAGAGAAAAAAGAGAGAAGAGAGAAAGAGAGAAAGGGAGGAAAGAAAAGAGGAATTTTGACTGAAACGGAGCCGCAACCAGGGGCTTCGGGGCTGCGCCGAAAATCACACAAACGCCGAAAATAAATTGCGGTATAGGTATGCGAAAGATTGACTGACGGAAGTAAGGGAAATCTGCGTTTTGTGAGAAGAGGCAGAAATAAACCGTTGGCCAATCAGAAAGCAGGAAGCGGACGAACGTGTTGGTTCCTGTTTTCAGTCTACTCGCTTCGCCGTGTTTACCGGGGGCGAGCGAGAGCACGTACGTGTGTGTGCTTGTGGTGGCCAAGGGTTGTTTCTGCCGTGACGTTTCTTTTTCAGCTTCGATTTCGGGGCAAACAAAGCCGCCAACAACGCAGATAGGCCGGCCGCCGAAGAAAATATCCACTCTTGCCGGAATTTCGGCGCACAATCCTGCGGGTCCCCCGCCAAAAATAAATAAAAATCCAAAACGAATGGCCGCTGCGCCCCTGCCATTCACCCTCCTGCTCCACGATACACGATACCCCTACCAGCTACCAGACACCAGACCAGACAGCTTTGGTGTACTCTCTGCTGTCTGCTGGTCTCCATCTAGTCCATGGGTCCAAAATGTTTCACGAACGAGGGTTGCAGCCAATACGACAACTATAACGCTTCTGAGCTGATGTGTCACGGATGTTTTCGACCACATGCACTTTTTTCCATTGAAGGCAAAATTGAGGGAAGCTTTAAAATTGTCATTTGAACACCAAACTGAGAGACGTGGGTTCAAATCTATGCAGTTGCGATGGGGCATTGGGCCTGATAATAAGACCCCATTTGTTAGGGACATCGGTTGGTCTAAGGAAAACCCAAGTAACGTAACGTCTAGTAGAGGTCGACCGAATCACATTGGATGGGAACGGGTCTGTAAATGGATAGATTTTATTTTGGATGAAGGATTTGTACAATTTGGGAATGGCATACCAACAAGCCTCTGGTATCTTTATGGGAACGGCACCAGCCCCCGAACTAGCGAATATTTTTGCGTTTATACATGAATTTGATTTTCTGAAGGAGATGGTGGAGGAGTATTTAAGTGCTAAACAAGCTGGGACTACACCGTTGTACCCATTTGAATTTATTGAGCAGTATAGCATTGGTACAAAACGGTATGTAGATGACATTTTTACAGTGAGATATGGTAACCAGACTGGACCAACATTTGAAGATATTATATATAAGGAGGGTAATCAGTATGGTGGTATGTACCCTACGATGGTGCTAGATATGGATGGTGATGAGATAGAAAATCCTGTTCGCATTACACTAGAACAGTGTGGGGAATCATCGCACTTTCTAGATATGCAAATAGGGCAAGACATTCCTGGTAAGACTTGTATTGGTATGTACAATAAACGCCAACATATGGCTACGCTGAAGAAATATCGGGCATTTCCACATTGGGAAACAGTGTTATCTACTAGGTGTAAAATGTCGACGTTACACTGTCAAATATTATGCCGATTTGCTATTAGATGTACTGACATTCGATTCTTTCAAGCAGCTACAGCCAGACTGATGGCGGATATGCTTGCACGTCACTATTCTAGTCGACTTGTACGTAATACTTTACACAATTTCATGTATACATTTTTTCGTACCTCGCCAGTGACTGCAAACATTGTCGGTATAAATGTACCTACGGTGCGGAATTCATACTGGAAGAAAGTGGAACTTGGTATTTGCAAGCGATTAGATACGGAGGACTTTACTTGTTAGATCAGCTTGCGTGTTATCTTGTATTGTGTTTGTTTTGAATACGTTTCGCTGTATTAAAACGTGTTTCATTTTGTTGTTCAACAATGCCTGAAATATTGTTATGTTGTGTTCTTACACCGTGATGTATATATGAAGGACGCTGGTGGTCTGGTGTGTAATTAACGACGTCAAATTCCCGTTTAATTTACTTTTTGTGCTAACAAACCTGCACACACTACTTTATTAGGAGCTTTATAGCTTATAGCGATGCGAAAATCTGTGGGCAACCGCATATTTGACCGTCGAAACCGCAAGGGGGAACACTGAAAATGAAACGTGTCCCTTGCAATTAAGATAATCGATTTCTGTGCACCTTTCATGCAAAACATACACCCAGGTGACAACGGAAAAACTGGGAATTCCGACAAATTCCGCTGAACCAGAAATCTGCACTTCAAAGAGCCAGCCAGCCACATCTATCTGCTGAGAGGAGCACGCATGCATGCAGTCATTCCGTTTTTAGCTCAGCTACCTACCTCTCTTGGATTGCGGAGCTAGCCGGCATTTCGGATCCAGCCGTTGTGCGATACTAATCATCTCCGATAGGACTTGAGGAGGACGGACTGTAAAGCTGTAGTAGCATACTGCACTGCGTCTGCTCCTTGCTGCTGCTCTTGGCTGACCCAGGACTTCGAAAATCCCCACAGGTACGAACAAACTCCTTTATGTGTGGTGGAAGGATGGACTGCGCTCCTTTCTGTGTGGTCTAAGGATGGACTACACCATGCATAACATACTGAAGCTGCCTTCACCTGTCGCCGCCATTCCACGTCTACCTGTCCATGACACGTGCTGCCAACTGATGCGACAACTGATACGACGACACCTGGGTACAACATGGACACAGGAAGTACTCCCCCTGCCCATACACCGTCAAAATAGTCAAAATAGCTAGAACCTCTCTTTTTCCTCCCATGCCAAATACAAATGACGATATAACATACATGAAATGATCGATCCTGTCTTTACCTGTGGTCCACGCTGCCTACTAATAGGAGAGAGAGGTAGCCATACCTTCTGCCTACAAACGGGTGAGATAGGGGGTCATACCCACTGCATCTAACACACACCCACATGTATGTCGGTGTAGAAACCTCAACTACATGCCTCTATCGGCGACCACGTCAGGAGGCAATGCCGAAAAAAGGAAAAAAATGTTCTCCCGTGCCATTTGCACATTTGCAGATTTAATAGCACGAAATTACACGAAATTACACAAAAAGGTCACAAAAAGGTAAAAAGGTAAGAAAATGGTGAGACCACGCCCGTGTGTCCGCACATACCCCGAAATGTACCCACACATATTGTATACATACCCAAATACCCGGTACATACGCGTACCACATTGAACATACGTTTGAAAACCGAGGAAGATTGCATTCCATATGGCTAAAAGGGTGCCACACACAAAACGCCCGACCAGTACCTAACACATATATATCATCTGCACCTTCCCAACAAAACATATATGAGACACACAAGACAACCACCAAACTGTCTTGTTGAGCCTATTACCCGCAGGGGAGATGTCCCTATATGCTGTCTGGGAAATCGTAGACATACAGGTACTTTTCTGACGCTATGAATCCATTGCTAATCTGTCTCAGACTCTTTTCTATGATGGAGATGGTTTCGTGGTGTCATATTAAGAAAAAAAAAAAAAAATGATTCCTGTCAATAATGTCCCTACAGACTATGCTGTCTGGGAATCGTAGACATACAGGTAGCTTTTTCTGACGCCATGAATTCATTGCTTGTAATCTGTTTCTGACTCTTTTCTATGATAGAGATGGATTCGTTGTGTAGCAACTAATTTACACACGTTTATATGTTTTATGTCTGTTTTTACACATGAAAATGTCAGCTGTGGTAGGGCTTTTGCGTCGAATATGCAAGACAGACGCGCACCATGACCGGCACCTACTGTAGTTTTTTAGTGCCCACGACCGTTCACGATCACGCACGATCCACTGCCAACTACATGCATACATGCAGTCTAGCACGCGGAGTCACGAAACCAAACCAACCCCCCGGGCTGACTGGTCGTCCAAGGCAACTAGTGGTGCCACCTACTGCTCATCTCCGCAGCCCAGGAGACTAGGTCTGTGACTGCGCGCACAGCATCATCCATAGCCTCCATACAGCAGCAAGCAGTGTGGGCGACGAATATACACATACGCCACGCATCATCACGCATCGTCTCGTGTCCTCCCGTTTCTGAACCGATTTTCAAAGCTCGACTACAGTACTGACTATCTATGCCTAAACGGTACCATGTACGGAAGCTCTATCTAGACGAGATGGTTCCAACACTGCCCTTTGTAGCTGCCACTCTCTCTGCTGATGTAGAGTAACCGAGCTTTGGAAATCGGTTCAGCAGGCTTTTTGACTAGGCTTCATATCCTTTTCAGCTGATGATGTCACCGAGCTTGATGTCACCCCTTCTTACAATAAAATAATAAAATGTATATAACCAACCACCTTGAACCGCCTATTGTAGCGCTTCGCAGGGGGAGTTTCATGCGTCGCCTTTCGACCCCGCAGCGGCTCAGCAACAGATCTAGGTAGGAGTGCCAACACGAAAGTCCCTGCTCCATCAAGCGATGCTCCTGGTCTCTCCTGATACATACAGGTGTTGATGTTGGGGACTCCTACATACAGTACATGCCGCAGAAGGTCGTGTCTGATATAAAAATTGATTGTAGCACTCTATCTTGTAGCCTGTAGACTGATGATGATGTACTAAACCGCATGGACGCGTCGCAGGATGGCACTCGGTGCATTCCCAGATCCAACCGCGGCATGCTACCTCCAAACGCAGCATGAAACTCTGTCCACTACAGCAAAAAACCGCGGATACAACACAGAGAGACGGTAGAATGAGAACGAGCAGCGGTTACGAGGGTACGACGACAGAGGTTACACCCGACACCCGCCGAGTTGGCGAGTCGAGCGTTTGTTATCAAAATAGATTATGACGGGTACTGCAGGATAATGTCACTTACCAACGGCAGGTGGATGAGGCAGTTGATCCTCTTGCTTCCTTGGTCGGATCCGGGTTGCGAAATACAGTGAGAACGGTGTGGAACGCGGCGGGGGGCGGGCGCGTGAGAGAGAGAGATAGATAGAGAGAGAGAGAGAAAGAGAGAGGGGGGGGAAGAGAGGCAGGCTCTTTGAGGGGGCACGTGCGTGGTGGAATAATATGTGGTGGAATAATATGTCCACAGCCGGTTGAAACTTTGCCATAAAAAAATGAAACATGAACCTTTCAACCACATTATTTTCTGGTGCCGCCTATAAAAAAAAAGTACTGGCAAGTTGTTGCTGCTCCTCTGTGGAAGAGACCAAGAGACAATAAAAAAAGAAAAGGGGCCGGTGTGTCCCCTGTACGTTGTTACCATGCGTTTGTTTGTAGCGATATGATGGTTCAGTCAAAGTCAAGTGGACTCTAAATATAAAGAAAGGCTGCATCGACTGGCTGCAGCATTGCTTGCGCTTGTTGTGCAACTTGCGCATGTGCAGGTGTGTCTGCTGCGCTTTGAAGGATGCCCCCGATATGATACAGACGTACGCGAATTTAAGCGTAACATAATATAATAATCAATCCTACTACATGACATACATACATACATACATGTATATGTAGTCTATTGCATATATACATCCATACATAATACATAGATAGGGACAGCAGCAGCAACACACACACGCACAAAAGAAGTCTCCACGAGGAAGAGATACTACTGCGTATGTATACATACATAAAATGCATACAAAGTATGCATTCACCATCAGTCATCAGTCAAAAGGGTTGCATATTGTATGCATATACTTTTGTGGCACCACCATCATCAGCTAGCTGTTGTTATTGTTGGAGAGGCGAAGACCTGTTGTTGTGGAGACAGGCAGTTTGGGTGCTGCCCATGGGATCCCGCGCTGTTTTGTACGGTACTACAGCAGTTTTGAGTGGGGCGGGCAGTGCAAAAATTCCTACTACGCGTACCACCACCAAGGACCACATTGATTGCACAGGAATATGTGTGATGACTACACAAACATGCTGCATATAATATACGAACCACACCCGCCCGGGGAGAAAAATCGAACAGAATACAACGTACATCATGCTCCTCGTATGTATGTTGTAGACTAAATATATGTATTGTTCTCTCTCTCTCTCTCTCTCTCTCTCTCTCTCTCTCTCTCTCGCTCGCTCTCTATTGCTATCAGTCGCTCCCGATGTTTTGGAAACAAGACGACCGTTCAACCAGTTTGTGTTGCAGTCAGCGTGCCGTATTACTTTGAAGTGATTTGGGGTATCCTGAAGTTAGTTGTAGGATGCGCGAGGACTACATGTACATACCAGTATTCTAAACTGCCTACCATACAATAATAAAACAAAACTTTGTAGGCCGCCGTTGTTGTTGTTGTTGTTGTTGTTGTTGTTGTTGTCGTCGTCCCTTTTCAAAAACGTGCTGTTCGATGTTTATGTTTCAGCCTCCGGCTCTTTTTGCGAGGAGGGAAACCAAGGCACACAAGGTCCTGCGTGTCGTGTCTCGCGCCCAGCGCGTAGCGCTGCCGTGACGGTGGCGCATTGTGCGTGAGGAGGTGGCGGCGCAACCGGCTGCGGTACACAATAAAAAAATTAGGTAAAATGGTTGTTTTTTTCGGGGGGCTGCTGCTGTGTGCAGCTGCTGTGGTCTGTCTGTTATAGAAACCTCACGACCACGAATCAATCCAGTGTTTTTTCCTTTCGCGTCGAGGGAGACCGAGGCACAAAAGACAGTGCCCGTCGCGTCTCGCGCCCAGCGCGGCCGCGGTCATGGCGCGGTGAGTCTGCGGGGGTGGCGCCGCAACCGCCTCTCTCTGCGGTACACAAAAAAAAAGGTGAACTCTACGGTTTTTTTGGGGGGGTGTTGCTGCTGCTGCTGTGCTGTGCCGTTGAGGCCTCTGTCTCAGAACAACCTCACGGCTACCAATCTAGCGCTCTCCTTTCGCGCGGAGAGAGACCGAGGCACGCAAGGTGCGGCACGCCCTGTCTTGCGCCCAGAGCGGCCGCGGTTGTGGCGCATGAGTGACACAGCAGCAGTAGCAGTGAGGGGGATGTTCGCAGAAAAGTATGCAACAACACCAGTATGTTTGTACGCGGCAAATAAACGTGAAAAGATTGTTTATTAGTAGGAGGGTGCACAAAAAACAAAAAGTCCATCCGTTGAAAGCAGAAGGAAAGGTGACATGTATGCACTGCTGTATGCATATGCATATCCTACGAAAAGCAGCGTGCTCTGTACCTACCTCTGCCTGTGCCTGTTCTGAATTTTGTTGTGCCCTGTACATGTATATCTAAAACTCTGTAGGTTGTAGTTCACGCTGCCAGCACAGCTGCGAGGCTATACTGCTGTGCTGGAAGCTACATGACAATAAGCTGAACATCATCCAGCAGCAGCACAGCAGCACCAGCAGCATCACCATCATCAGCAGCACCAGCAGCGCAGCAGCAGCAGTATACTGTACTGCAGAGTATACTCTGGCTGCTGCTGTACGTAGTCCCTTCGTTTCAATATAAATGGGTTGCTGTGAGGTAGGTAGGTGTGGCTTCCCGACGGATTGTTGCGTGTATTTATTCCTGCCAAATCATAAAATAGTGGTAGTCTACAGCACAGTGTAGAGAGGATTCAAACAGCGTACAGCAGTAGTACACATAAGCAACAGCAGACCCACGAGGCCGCGTTGGCTACACAACAAGAAGAGTTCATGTTTTGAAAACTGAAAAAGATTCGCCGAAAAGGTTTTCATGTGTCTGGTCTCTCGGTGTGTCCCTACACAGCACATGACATGCCTCCCACACATAATCTACATTAGGATAGATGGAGTCATCATTCATGTGCAGGCATTGATGCAGGGAGAAAGATCCGTTCTCTCGGTGAACTACTAATAGTCTATTGCTGTACACAGCACATGCCCCCCACAACCAGGATAGACATACATGTAGATAGATGGAGAGATATCATTTAGCAGTAACAACGACAACAGCAGCCCCGGCTAGGTCGCTTCTGGCTACGAAACAGATACAAGTTGAGGATGGATGCATACATACCGCATTATCATGCGCTGTTCACCGTGTTCAAAAGTAATTAGGGAAGAAAGGACACATGATCGATGTACTGTATGTACAGTAGTAGATGTAGATGGTCCGTTCTTCGGTGACTAGAAAAAATAGCTGGCTAATCTAAATAATTGATAGATCTCGGCCCCTCCCTGTGAATACAGCACACGTCTCGCGCATCATTAATAGTCTAGATAGGTAGATCGAAGTCATGCAGCAGTAACAAGAACGAACGGCAGACAGACGTGGTGAGGCTACTTTTCAGCTTAACCCTTTCGTGACTGGGTTCTTTCTGGATCTTCCGCGTTTTTTTTTGTTCTGCCGGGACCGAATAGACCGATGAGTCATGAGACACACACACACGACACCTGCACTTGAACGTTTGCACGTTTGTTTGCGCACCAACAGGTTCCCACATGGGTCAACCGCACGCACCCCATGGTGCCACAAAGGTTTAGTGCCCAACAGCAGCGTAACCCTCACGTGAAGAATGTGATGAGTGACCGATAACTACACTGACTGCTGTACTGCTGTATGTAGGTGCTGTCGGAAACCGGAGGAGAGAGAGAGGAGAGGGCGCCGTATTTCTTTACCCCAAACACGATTACATGGTGATAGTCTACATGGATACAGCAGCAGCAGTAGAGATACATCGCATGCACAGCAGTTCTACCCCGCCGCCGATGCAGCACACTGGCGCAAGGCATGGCACCGCCTCCAATGCCACTTGGTTGGGTGGTAAATCCAGCGGAGACAAGAAGCACACACGCACGCGGTTTGTTTGTTGGATGCATGCATGCGAAACGAAATGAAAAAGCACCCAGCAGCAGCAGCAGCAGCCCGCCGCAGCAGCAGCAGCAAGCACGAGCCGCGCGAGAGATAAACTATGCCTTGTGGTGGCGGTTGGTTGAAGACGGACAAGGAATACACTCGAACACACACGCGCGCAGGAGAACTCGGGGAGAGGCCTCGTAAGCTTGGCCTTCAGTTCTGCAACCACATTCCGAAGGCAAGGAAGAAGGCACACAAGTCAACAGCGAGAGCATGCTTTATCGTACCAGATAAAGACAGGTTTTATCATGCCTCCTATCGTGCCTGTAGTCACGAAAACCCTCTCAAAAACGCGAAGGCACGGGGGCGGGTGTCTCTTTTTGACACTTTGTCACTCCGCCACAGCCTGCCAGCACAACAGCAGCAACAACAGCAGTACAGCAGTACCAACATCACCACCATGGACCCAGAGGACATCGCTCAGTTCTGGGAGGCCAAAGCGGCTGAGTGGGACCCAGTGAATGCTCCCCTAGTTGTGTGGGACGAGCTGGTTCTCATCGCGGACACAACACCCCAGCTCCTGCCCGAGGCGACATCTGCTGCAGCCAGGGCGGTTGGGAAGCGGTTCTGCTGCCACGGGGACAACGAGCCCCAGCCCCTCCCAGACATAAGGGACCTGGCAGCAAGGAGGACCGCAGCTCAGCAGCACCCCGGACTCTGCGGGTACCACCACTCCCGCTGGATCGGGGATGTAGATTTCTCAAAGGCAGCCGAGAGGAGCTCGGGGGGGCAGGTCACAGCGAAGCGTCTGAGGAATCAAGTAAGTATAGTACAATTGATATTTGGCAACCCCACAAATGATGGGCTGCTGACCCAGATCGGTTGTGCACCTGCTGTGCGCGTTGCACCTCGTGTATTATAGG